CAAAATCACAAAGCCATTGAAAGGCAAGGCCAGGATTCAAATGCAAGCAGTCTGTCTGTCTCTGAAGTACATAATGAACTCAACTACTACAAAAATACAGATGTACTTAAAAAGATCAAATAAGTTATGCATTCTAAAAATTAACCCAGAAGTATAATATTTTAATTCCAGTTTTTTTTTTTTTTAATGCAGCCTAATTTAAAAGGATTTGGGTTCTTTTTTTTCTTTTTCTGCTTTTTAAAGCTAGCAATTCATTGTTAAAAGTGCAAGTCCACTAATCATAACTATTTGGGCCAGGCACAGTGGCCCACGCCTATAATCCCATCACTTTGGGAGGCCGAGGTGGGCAACTGCTTTTGCTCAGGAGTTCAAGACAAGCTGAGGAACATGGTGAAACCCCCAACTCTACAAAAAATACAACAATAGCTGAACATGATGGTGCACACCTGTGGTCCCAGTTACTCAGGAGCCTGAGATGGGAAGACGAGCCTAGGAGAGCAAGGCTGCAGTGAGCCGTGATCACACCACTGTACTCCAAGCTGGGTGACAAAGAAAAACCATGTCTTACCCCTCCCCCCAAAAAAAGACTATTTCTAGGGCAATAATAACTACTAAAAACTGAAATTTCAATTATTAGTCAAAATAAAACATTAGTATGGTATATTTTTCTTTAATAACAATATTTTCTAAATGGCACACATTTTAAATGTTTAGCTATTTTAGTTACACATGTGAATTAAAGTGTCTTTTCAAACCAAAATGAAGCAAACACAAATTAGTTAGAACACTTCAGCCAGATTACCAAATGTATCTGGTATGTGACACAGTCTTCACATTTCTTTACCTGAGAGGCAATGAAGCAAACAGGACCAAGTCCAGGCTTTGAAGCCCTGATAGAATCTCCTGCTCTGTAATCTCAGATAAGGTATTTAACCTCTCTGAGCTTTGGTTCACTCAGTTATTAAATGGGCATAAATAATATTAACAGCCTAAAAGTCCTAAAAATAAAAACATGTAAGACCATGTACAGTGGCTCACACCTGTAACCCCAGCACTTTGGATGGTCAAGGGAGGAGGATAGCTTGAGGCCAGGAGTTCAAGACAAGCCTAGGCAACATAAAGAAACTCTGTCTCTTTATGTATATGTGTATGTATATGTGTATCTCTTTATGTATATGTGTATATGTATATATATACACATATGCGTGTGTGTGTATATATATACATATACACATATACATAAAAACATATATATACACATACACATATACATAAAAACTCTTTATGTATATATATATACACACATATACACACATACATAAAGAGACAGAGTTTTTATGTATATGTGTATACATCAAAGTTTTTATGTATATACATATATATGTGTGTGTGTGTATGTGTGTGTATATATATATACACATACATATATATATATATATATATACACACACACACATACACACACACACAGACACATACACATTTTTAATTAACTGGGCATGGTGTGATATACCTATAATCCCAGCTACTAAGGAAGCTGAGGCAGGAGGATCACTTAAGCCCAGGGATTCAAGGCTACAGTGAGCTCTGTTCACACCACTGCATTCCAGTCTAGCTGACAGGGCAAGACCCAAACTTTTTTTTTTTTTTTTATTGAGATGGAAACTCGCTGTCACCCAGGCTAGAGTGCACTGGCATGATTTTGGCTCACTGCAACCTCTGCCTTCTGGGTTCAAGTGATTCTCCTGCCACAGCCTCAGGAGTGAGTAGCTGGGATTACAGGCGTCTGCCACCACGCCTGGCTAATTTTTTGTATTTTTAGTAGACATAGGGTTTCATCATGTTGACTAGGCTGGTCTCAAACTCCTGATTTCAGGTGACCTGCCACCTCAGGCTTCCAAAGTGCTGGGATGACAGGTGTGAACCACTGCACCCAGCCAAGACCCCAATCCTTGAAAACAAAACTGTATATGCATGGGTGTGTGTGTGTTTTTAATTTTAATTTTTTTTTTTATGAGGCAAGGTCTTACACTGTTGCCCAGGCTGGAGTGCAGTGGCATGATCTCAGCTCACTGCACCCTCCAGGTCCTGGGTTCAAGTGATCCTCCCACTTCTTCCTCCCAAGTAGTTGGAAGTACAGGTACAAGCCATCATGCCAAGCTAATTTTTTTTATTATTTTTTTGTAGAGACAGAGTCTCACTATGTTACCCAGGCTGGTCATGAACCCCCTGGCCTCCCAAAGTACTGGGGTTACAGGCGTGAGCCACCATGCTGGGTCACATAGAACACCAGACCCAAAGGAATAACTTAATAAATATTAAATTCCTTTTTTTCTTATGAGAAAAAAGGGCAGATACATTGTCTCTGTGCATCTATAAGTCCACACTGCAGTGATACTTTCCAGAGTCTAAGAGACAATCAATGTTTCTGCATACCCATTTTCAGTTATGAAACTCTGAGGCTAACAATTGGATTATGAATCCCAATTCTAGATTCCAATGTATTTGGAGGCTTATATGAAGTGGTTGCTTTAAAATATAGTTTTTGAAATTGTTTTGTTTTTAAAATCTTTTTAAATAAAACAACCTAATACTACATAATGACATCAATGTACAATGTAAAACTCTGATTTTGAGATTAAAATTGATGAACTTGGCCTCTGTGGTGACCTTGAACTCTGTGTAAGATGGAAATCTAACTGTGACTTTGATTTTGAGATTATAATTAGTGAACCTGGCCTCTGTGGTGGCCTTGAACACTCTGTAAGATGGAAATCTCTTTACCTAAACTACTGACAGCAAGTGATCAAACCAGATGATATTTCATAGTTTCACACAGCAAAATGAGGTTTTAAGTCTGTCAACAAACAGGAATAGATCCAAAAACATGGGCCGCTTAAATGAGAAGGCACAGAGTCCATTCTTCTGAAGTACTCAATGGCAGCGACACGCTTGCAGGCCAAGACCCCTCACTCTGTCCAACCCAAGAACCAAGACACTGTCACTGGATCTATGCCTATCAAACGGCCCTTTCTAGGTATACTCAGTTTCTCATCCTCAAAGAAATCCCAGGATAATCCCATAGCTAGTAAATCCTAGCACCCCGAAGCCTCCCAGGTACCCTGTACTACTGTGTAACAAAGAAGCAGATAAAGAGAAACCCCAGTTTATAGAAATGTTTGAGCTAACAAATGAAAAAGAAATGACTGAATGAGATCACTGTTTTGTAACCCCACATTAATTCATGGATCTATACAGTAGATATCAATGGCTGCTAACATCTCAGACACTGTGTACTTTCAAAATGTTCACGTACATATATTCTGAATATAAGCAAATCTCTAGATCCACCATCAATTTACAAGAAATATGGACCTGCACAATGGAGGTACTATCAGGGAAAACAAACAAACAAACAAACAAAAGATAAGAGAATATATGTATTGAAAAAATTCTTAAAGATTTATTTTTACTTTTTTTTCTTTTTCTTTTCTTTCTTTTTTTTTTTTTTGGAGACAGAGTTTTGCTCTTGTTGCCCAGGCTGGAGTGCAATGGCGTGATCTTGGCTCACTGCAACATCTGGCTTCAGGGTTCAACCAATTCTCCTGCCTCAGCCTCTCAAGTGGTTGGGATTACAGGCATTCGCACCATGCCCGGCTAATTTTGTATTTTTAGTAGAGACAGGGTTTCTCCATGTTGGTCAGGCTGGTCTCGAACTCCTGACCTCCTGTGATCTGCCTGCCTCGGCCTCCCAAAGTGCTGGGATTACAGGCGTGAGCCACGACGCCCAGCCAATTTATTTTTCAAAAGAAACAACCTACAGTGTTTGTAGTTTTGTCACCCAAGCATGTACCCCTAAAGAAAAGCAAGAAAATGATTACCATAAAGGTCAGGATAATTACTTTTATGAGAAGGGTACTGTAAAAGACTTCTGGGGTGGCTGGCAAACTTTTAGTGTTCTGATTGGTGTTAGGAGGGTATTCTCTTTGTGACAATTCATTAAAGCTATACTACTTTGTATTCTGTGGATTTCTTTTTTACCATAAAAAAGATTTAAATAAGACAAGTGGGATTCTAAAGGTAATTCCAGATTATCCATTAAGCTGACTACGTATGTACTATGCACTCTGAGCCTCAGGAAATAAGCCCTTCCCTACTAACACTACTCCAAATAAAAAAATAGTTTTGGGTTTGATACTTAAAAAAAAAAAGATATTTTAACAAAATACCATAAACTTGGGGAAAGATTTTAAAAATTCAATCAACTTTTTAGAAAAGGAATTAAAGAGGTCATATGAGAAGAAAAACAACAACAGAACTCTGTGGAGTCCCTTACATTCCTTTACATTCAGTACTCTTTATTTTGAGTTATACTGAAGGGATGCACAATAATCTTTTTTTTTTTTTTTTTTTGGAAAGAAAACAAATTTTTAATAACCTCTGAGATATAGGATTATGGATAATTTTTGCCTTTTTCATGCTTTTCTCTATTCTATTTTTTTCCATTTATTTATTTTATTGCATTTTAGGTTTGGCGGTACATGTGAAGAACATGCAAGATTGTTGCATAGGTACACACGTGGCAGTGTGATTTGCTGCCTTCCTCCCCATCACCTGCATCTGGCATCTCTCCCCTTGCTATCTCTCCCCAGCTCCCCACCCCTCACCGTCCCTCCCCTATTTCCCCCCAACTGACCCCAGTGTGTAGTGCTCCCCTCCCTGTGTCCATGTGTTCTCATTGTTCAACACCCGCCTATGAGTGAGAACATGCGGTGTTTGATCTTCTGCTCTTCTGTCAGTTTGCTGAGAATGATGGTTTCCAGGTTCATCCATGTCCCTACAAAGGACACAAACTCATCATTTTTGATGGCTGCATAATATTCCATGGTGTATATGTGCCACATTTTCCCTGTCCAGTCTATCATCGATGGGCATTTGGGTTGGTTCCAGGTCTTTGCTATTGTAAACAGTGCTGCAATGAACATTCGTGAGGGATGCACAATAATCTTAACAATGCCTGGAGCTTTTATTATTTGTAGAGACGAGAGTCTCCCTCTCTGGCCCAGGCTGGTCTCAAAATTCTGGGCTAAAGCTATCCTCACGCCTCTGGATTACAGGCATGAGCTACCATGCCCAGCTGGGTCCATTCTTAATTGCTCATCTATCTAAATGCTTTTTCTAACTCATTCGGGACACCCTGGCACAGGAAAGAAGCAGCTTCTTCCAGAAATTCCTAATTGAGTAAGAAAGTCCTTGCTGTAAGGAGCTCAAATTTGGGAATAGAAGTTGTACAGGAACATAGATCATTACCTTATGAGCTGAGAGCTACAGCAAAGATATATGGAAAGAAGCAAAGATCTTCGATGATTTTCTGAAATCCTGAGCCTATTTATGTCATTTATATAGTGCCATCTTTGGAGAGGAGGAAAGTCATTTCTGATTTAAGCGGAGAAATGGGGAAGGCAGCGGTGAACACACTCATAGAGTTCAGTAAACATTAAGCTAGCTTAACAAGAAAATCAGAGATGCATCTCAATGTTCTTTACACAATATTAAAATGGGGAGGAGAACATACAAGCAGTAGGATCACCTTAAATACCTTAACTTAGTTAAAATCTAAGATTCACATCTAATTTAAATAAGGTTAAACAGGCTTCCTAGACAAAGTTTATTAAAATTCAATATTCATCAGCAATGATATAAATAAGGGATAATATCATCACCAGTTGAAACCTTGGATACCCTTTTCAGCAGTATTTTTCAATAGTACTTTATATCAAAAAAACAAAAACTAGTTTTGCCAAGTCAGGTATTTTTATGTAAAGGGGAAAACATGTGTTCCTAAAGTACTGTAAGAGAGCCACAATCTCACACACTACATATATCTTTTGTACTCAGGAGGTAAACCAGAGTTAAAGGGTGGTTTCAGTAAGATCATTTAATAGCAGAGCTGTAATTTTACATAGTTCTAAAATTTCTTATAACCTGCTTTTTTTAACTACTCAAAACAAAAGGATTATTCAGTACAATCACTCTAAGTATTTCTTTTATAAAGGCTGTTCTCATTCATTTTGAACAATAAAACAGAATGAAGTATGTTAGCATGTGCAAATATATGCTTACCAGAGAAAAACATGTTTTACCTTATTGTTCTCATATCTCCCTTGATATGCTTTTATGTTTTGTCTTTATGACATTTCAAAACACAGAACTTAAATAATGCAGACAATCCTCTGTTTTAATATCACTCAAAATCTCTCATAAAAAAATTAAAACTGAAATCCTAAATGAAAAAGGCCAGAAAGTTATGCAACATTTCAGCTTGATCCTAAGCTTTCAAAATTTCATTATTTTTCAATATTCTCTTTTATGACTTTTTAAGCAAAAAGTTGAAGGGGTTTTACAGTTATTTGGTATAACTGTCATGTTTTAGATCCTAGTGAATTTAGAAATCTACAATAACAACAGAGTGATCTGAGTGCTTCTCACTCACGACTGAAGGGAAGGCTCCCTCCACTGCCTAAATCTTCACCCTGTTGTACAGCAACTTGTAAAATAATCTAAGAATTACAATAAGGATTTGGCATTAACTCAAAAAAACAATCATTGCACAGACTAACTGTGTAGCTTTGGGGAAATTGCTTAGCTTCTCTGAGCCTCCACAGCCTCACAGAAAACAGAGATAATATGACTTTTATGCTAGTGAGAGGTAAATGATGCTATACATATATACAGAAGCATCTCAAAAGAACAAGAACTCAAAAGTTCCTATTTCCTTCTCATTTCAGAAATGTTGAGAGTGGAGGAGTAAGAAAAATTCGCCTGTGATACAGTGTAAACACAGAATTGTGGCCCCAGGACCAACAGCATTGACATCATCTGTGAGCTTGTTGGAGGTGCAAATTCATGGCTTGGGCCTCAGGTCAACCGAATAAATCTGAATTTCTGGGGATGAGTATAGGAAACTATTTTAATAAGCGTTCCCAGTGTTTCTTAAAAACATTAAAATTGGAGAGGCACTGATCTAGAAAAACAAAATAGACATATGCAGTACCCTCCCATAATCAAGGATCCCATTTTCTGATTCCTGCTTACCTGTCTCCTTCCCTGTTGGTCACTCCGGATCCTTCAATTGCCCTGCTGTCCAGATTCAACTTTTGGCTTCACTGGCTCATTTCTCACACCACAGCTGGTTTCTACCCTTCCTGGCAGGGTCTTTTCCTGCTGACAACGTGGTCATTGTCATATTCCCCAGTCCCAGCCCCACCCTATCATACAGACAAACATCTAAAACGGCTTAGTGTCCACCCAGGCTGTACACTGCCCACATGAGCAGGCCAGTCTGTGCATACTCAATTCCCGTGATCTTTCCCCATTCTGTCCCAGAAAAGCAAGTTCCAACCATCATTCTGCAAACCCATGGTACCTAAGGCAAGAAAGAACTCCCCAAAACTCTGAATTCCATACTTCTCATTGTCAAGGCTTTTCCAACAAGTCAATTAAGAAAGGTTTTTAAAAACTAGCTGTTCTGTTCACCATAACTGAGTCCACCCCTTAGCACCCTCAGCTAGAGAGAGAGCAACTGATCTTCAGGTCTTGGTGATCCATATTCCTCCTTCCTTTTGTCCTCTGGAATAATGCCCTGTCAAAGTCCAGCTCTACTAATACCTAAAGCCAACCATTAAAATGAAATCATGGTCCAACTTGTTTGGCTCCAAGAGGCTGGCTTCTACTAACACAAGCTCACCAGTTCCATCAGAATCCCACTTGGCATGAGCCCTCAGACCTGGAGGAAGAGAGGACTGGGACCACCATTCTGGCAATGAATTGTTCCAACTGCTTCCAAAAGATAAGTCACCTCAACTTCTCCAATGGTGGAGTCAGGGTAAGCAAAAGCTGTTACTAAGACCTTCCTACTATCAATATGAGATATCCAACTAAGGATTTTATTCTACATCTGGCATAATAAATCCTTCAAGTAGACACATTAATCAAGCAAACTTCAAAACTTAGGGAACTGCATGTATCTCCGAAAAGTGAAGTCAGAGTAATGCTCTCCAAGAAAGAGAAGAGATGAAGGCAGGCATGCCCCATAAACTACACAGGAAAACTAGGGTTACAGAAAAATATTTAATGATATATAAAAACACCAATCTGAGATTATCTTTTTAGTTAAGTTCAGATCAAACAATTGTTCTGTTTCTCTGCTACTGGCTCTAAAATATTCAATTCATTGGCAGTCTCACTGCTGCTATGAGAGAGTACTTGCATACTTTTTTTAAGTCTGTCAGTTTTGCAAGGGGAAAATAGTTCTTCCTTATGCATTTAACTGCCTGAAGAAGTTGCTCCGGCTGCTTAGCAGCCCTCCCTTTCTGAGGAAAGACTGCCCTGCCCTGCCCTCTCCCATGTGGCTACATTGGGACCACTATGCCCAATCCATTCCCTAGCAAGCTTGCTATATAAATTATGATTTCAGTTATATAAAACATGCATGCAGGTAAATAGAAATTATAAGATATTAAGCAATATCTTGAGTTTAACTTTTAAAACTCTTCTTTAATACTGTTGTTCTAACAACTTTTCAACAATAAAAGAAAAAATAATCCTTCTAAATATATTTTCAAATAGTTTGAAAATAAAAATTACCAGGAATTGTCTTTTTAAATGCCATTTATATTCACTTACTATGAGGTAGTTGTTATTCTAAATGTTTTACAAATGACACACATTTAACCTCTTAACCCTATCAGGGAAAGAGGCAAAAAAACTTGCCACAGCGCTGCAAAGTCAGTCATCTACAGTGCCAAGATAAAACCAAAGCCTCAACCACAAGCCCTGCTACTTCCCAACTGCAGCTGCTGAACAGACAACACCTTCTCTCTAACTACGGGGTATCAAACTACTCGAAAGAAGCATCGTGAATTCTATGAGCACAGTGTCTCGCCTATGGCTGTACTTCCTTAGGTTGTGATTTTTGACAGATTTCGATAGCTAAACAAAACCAAATCTAACAAGGACTAAGAAAAGCGAGAAAAGCACAGTGGATTCAAGAATGCCCTAGATGTTGCAATGACACTTGTTCCCAATACGTAGTTAAAAGTAATAATGTTTGTTTGCAATATTATCTTCTAATTACAATGTAACGTGTATTTACAATGAACAGCATTCTGTGTACAATAAACATCATTAAACAAATCTTGCCTGTTATAAACAATTAGTATGAAAACTACTGAACCCAGAACCTCTTATTAGTAAGACATACCGCGAATGAGTAATGACATTTGGAATCATATATTTTCTCGCTACAAAAATTTCAATTAGTCCTGGCAGCCATGCACTTAATTATTACCTTCAAATATTAATTTTAATCTTCAAAAGAATGATTTAGCAATGCTCCACAATTATGAAATGCCAAGCAGTTTTCTTCACCACAGTACATCTTAGTACTAATCTCTTAGTACTATAGTCTCTAAATTTGTAATTTTTTTTCAAACTGTAATTGAAGTTCCAAATAGGACACTGAAGTTTCAGAGTAAACAATTACTATTTATTCATATCAAATGGTCACGTCACCAAACTGTTATCTTACATTATCTCTGCAACCACTTCCTCTCAAAACGGATACAACAAACACCAAAGGAAAAGCTCCCCAATTCAGACTAATGAAAAACTAGTAAAATCAACCCACCATTTAAAAGAAACTAACTTGGTTATTTTTCAAATACTAGGTAATTCAAATGGGAGACACAAATTATTCAGAAGTTTTGGAGAAGTGGAAGTGACATACCAACTGTTCCCATTTTAAATAGGCTTCTGAAATACATATACCTGAAGAAGATATTCAGAAGAGTTTATTATAATTTCCTTGTTTATTTCTCCATATCCATTCTTTTAATTTCATAGTTACTAGTAGTTAGGAAAGAGTTCATACCAGGAACATAGCTCAAAATACATACCATCTTCAATTTTAGTAAAAGCTTTAAATATATTTTACTTAATATTCTAGAAATAAAACTTAACATTCTTGCCTTAAAATGTTTGCATATTTTTTTTTTTTTTTGCAGTAAGGAGATGACATAGGGTCTAGTTCTGTTGCCCAGGCTAGCGTGTAGTGGCACAATCTCGGCTCACTGCAACCTCTGCTTCCTGGACTCAAATAATCCTCAGTCTCCTGAGTAGCTGGGACCACAGGCTCACACCAGCATGTCCAGCTAAATCTCTGCATTTTTTGTACACATGGGGCTTGCCATATCGCCCAAGCTGGATTTGAACTCATGAGCACAAGTAATCCACTCTCCTCAGCCTCCCAAAATGCTGGGATTACAGGCATGAGTTACCATGACCAGCCAAAAAATGTTTTGTATATTATTAAAAACACATGAAACTTTTAAAATGATCATCAGAGTGCACTACTTTATAGCACATTTCTAATTACCCAAACAAGGTTCATCGATACTTAACAGACAGAGTTGACAAATGAGTTTCATCTCTAGGCAACTCTCATCAATTAGTCATGACTTCCTGGAGAAGCCTGTTGGGAAAGATTATGAGAAAGCAGATGCCACAACTGGAATGCAAGTCAAGAGTGTAGGGGTCACATCTATACCACCACTGATGCAGTTTTTTTCTGGCAAAATGTCAAAGAGTTCAGCTTTTCTTCTGACCCAAGACCATGCTTGAGTCACTTACACCCATTATTGATAAATATTCAGAAACAACTAAGTTCATTTTAATATTATTTCGGTAAAACATAATTTAAAAAGAGAATTAGCCTGCAAAAATGAGTGTCACATTATGAATTCCAGAGCCAAATAAACATGGTTGGGGACAATACTTGTTGCTACACTTTCTATCTGGTGATTGTCTTCTGACAGCGACAGGATGAATTTCACTGTTCATTCTTGACAGAAGATTGGATTTTCTCATGCTTCACTTTCTTCTGCTCACTCTGGGAAGAAAATAGCATTTTCTTGGGTTTTATTTTATAGATAATTTATGGAAGGAAGTTGACCATTTGTGTTTTGCTTTACAGGATACTGAACAGTAAAACCACCCAGCCCACACCCTAATGCCCTTGGGTAACATTAGCCTGCTGCTGAATATAAGCCAGAACATACACCACATGGCTTTAGTCCAGGGCTTCTCATACTGGTGGCAAGCAAGGAGTGTGCCTGGGGGCAAGGGTATTCAAATCCATAAGACAGGCATGGCACAGCTCCCCAAACCACTATTTAAAACATTATTTCAATATTAAAATAGGAATAAATATATTCTCTAAAAGAATACAAAATTGGCATGAAGCTTTAGAAGAAAACAGAAAGATTACAAAGAAATGTTCTTTTTGGAAGCATCTACACACACACACACTCTTCTCTCTCTCTGTTGGGTTCAACCTTCTTTGCATTAAGAATGCCATACTTGGGTTAAAAACTCAGCAACACATTACTCCATTAGTGTGCATAAACTGAAAACTGACTCAGAAAATTTAACCATTATCTTGATCTTAAAAGGAGAGGGGTGGCAACGTAATCCCTTTACAACCTAGCCTCAAACAAAAAAGCCTATTTGGGACACAAAAATTTGTATTGCAGCTAAATCTGTACCTTCTTCATATTAATAACAGCAATATTTAGCATTTATTTAGCATTTCCAGGTAATATAACCCTAGAACCAAGGTGTGTCACCCCTAAACTACTTGTCAAGAATATCCCAAGCAGGAGGACTTTGTATTTGGTATTTCATCCCTCTGTCCGGAAAATGTTCTTTTCTCAAACATTTCCCTGATGAGTGCCCATGCTTTCCTATCACTTTTCTAAAAAAGCCCTTCACCCCAGCAAACTGCTGTCCTCAACAGTTACCATAGCTTTCTGTGTTTTCTTCACAGCACACACACATTGTGCTATGTATTTCTTTGCCTGTTACTTACTAAACACGTGTCCCCTGCTATAGTCTACATGCCATGAAGGCAGGGCCTTGTCTCTGCTACGTTTTTTGCTGTAGTATTCAAGGCTACAAGCAGTGCCTAGCATACAGTAAGACAAATAGACATTTGTTACAGGACTATTAGATAATATCTATTTAGTTAGAAATGTAAAATAACATAAAGCTATCACATATAATTCACAAAGATATCAGAATTGTATATCTACATAATAAGACTCCTCTCAGTAGACAGAAAGATCTACTCCCAGTGTGTTTGTACCTTATTTTAGCAATACACTGACACCTACAAAAATGACAAATACTTTGAAATAAGTGTCGTGGTGATACAAAGGCAAACCTAACCACTTGGTAATAATTTTATCTCATTAGAAGATACTAGAGAAACCATCTAGGCTTAGCAGATGCTATATATTTGCCTCTTGGGTTGGCAGTAGGGTGCTGCGGGCTGAATTACGTTCCCACAAATATATATGTTGAAGCCCTAACTCCCAGTGTGACTGTATTTGGAGACAGGGTCTTCAGAAGGTATTTAAGCATAAATGAGGTCATAAGAACAGGGCTTTGATCTGACAGAATTGGTATCCTTATAAAAAGAGACAAGGGAGAGCTGACACCTCCTGCTCCCAAGCTCACATGCATGGAGAGAAAGACCATGTGGGGACACAGCAAGAAGGCGGTCTCTGCAAGCCAGGAGAGCCTTCACCCAAAACCTAATCTGCTGACACCTTGACCTTGGACTTCAAGCCAGAACTGTAAGAAAACCAGTTTCTGTTGCATAAGCCATTCAGTCAATGGTATTTTGTTATGGCAGCCTGAGCTGACTAATACATGGAAGATAGAAATCAGATGATCCTTAACAGCCTTGAAATCCTTCAGAAGCTCATTCCTCTGCCTGTTCAGTACTCCCATGTAGTTTCCCACGAATCTGTAGAATCCCTTCAACAGGGAGCTGTTCTGGCTAAGATTCTGCAAATTCAATAAAAGCCAATAACCTTTGGAAAGGTTTTGTTGCTACTATATGCCTTTCTAAGACTTAGTAAATATAGGAGATACACTTTATAGATTTGTTGCGAGGACAAAATTAATCTAAATGTTTAGAGCAGTGTACAGCACAGAGTAAATACTACATAATACTGGCTATTCTTATTGGGAGCACAATTATCCAATTTTACTCCCAAAATAATACTATGCAGTCAGTGGGCATGGTTAGTACCCTCATTTCAGGAAACTGAGGCACAGAGAGGTTACAAAGTTATTAAGCAGAGGGGTAAAAATTTAAAATCAAGCAGTCTGACTCTAGAGTCTATGCTCTTAAATTCAGTGACTGGCCTAGAGTAAAACTTCAGTCAAGGCTATTGCTTTTATTATACAAACAAGTAAAGAGTCAAGAAAGCAATGTATTTTTCTTTTTCCATGCCGTTCTTATTAAGTCTTATTAATTTTATCTGGCAGTAAAACTACAATTCTGCTTATTGAAAATAATGCTTCTTTATATATAGTTTTAAGAAAAAGTTGTTAAACCCAATATATTCTTTAAAGTACTGAAAAGCTCTAATGGTTTATAACTCCTATGTGAGTCAGTATCTTCCCATTAACAACGAAAAGGCAAATCTGTGTTGTTTTTATCTATTGCTAGCACCAGACCACTCTCCCGTTGAAGCAGTGGTCTCGAACCTTGTGTATGAAAGAATCACTGCAATAACTGCTTGAAAAGGAAGATTCCCAGGCCTCACATCTAGAAATCCTGACTTAATAGGTCTTGGGCAAGGCACAGGAATCTCCGATTTTAATCAGCAGCACATATGATTCACATCTATCTTCCTCTCCACTGTACATTCCTAACAGTTCTCAATCCCTACAGCACAGTACACATTCATTCATTCATTCATTCATTAACAAGTATTTATTGAGCACCTATATATACCAAGAATGCAGCAGTAAATAAATTCTCAGGGTGGGTACAGTGGCTCACGCCTGTAATCCCAACACTTTATGGGTTCAAGGCAGATGAATCACCTGAGGTCAGGAGTTCCAGATCAGCCTGGCCAACGTGGTGAAACCCCACCTCTAATAAAAATACAAAAATTAGTCAGGCGTCGTGGTATGTGCCTATAATCCTACCTACTCGGGAGGCTGAGGCAGAAGAATTGCTTGAACCCAGGAGATGAAGGTTGCAGTGAGCCAAGATCACACCAATGCACTACAGCCTGGGTGTCAGAATGAGACTCTGCCTCAATTAAAAAAATAAAAATAATTCCCTGCTCGCAAAACTGACATTATGTGGTTGCAGATGACGGGGGTGGGAGGGCAGGGGTGAATGCATGTGTGTGTGTACATACAGCATAATAAACTGTATCAATTAGGATAGGTCCAGTTATTCTAGGACCACAAACTAGTTTAAGATTCAAACAACGAGGTTTATTTCTCACTCACACTATCATATCCATCACCTGTCAACAGTGGGCTCTGTTTTTTGTGGTTGCTCATGGACCTTGGCAAATGGAAAGAGGGGAAAAGGAAGTACAGAATGACTGTAAGGTTTTTGGCCTGATCTATTGGTGGAATGCTGTTGACATTTACCGAGATGGAAAAGAAAGAGCCAAATGCAGGAGACAGAAGGGGAGTTCATTTTTGGACATGTTTTGGATGACTGGCCTACCAGACATCAAAGTAGACCTGTCAAGTAGGCCGTTAGAGTCTGAAGTCTCGGCCGGCAATTTAAATTGGAGATTTCTGAGCATACAGACGTACAATTTAAACCTATGACTAGATGTCATCACCAAGGAAGTGAGTGTCCTCATTCTGCTTACCCCATCCAAATAGGAACAATGATGGATTTCCAGCTTCTGGCTCCCGACTCCCAACTGAACCTTGATTAAAGGGGGCAAAAGAATTACCACTGTGATCCTACAGTCTGGGGCTACAAAGCAGCTGGTCCCACCTAAATTTCTTGGCTGTTAAGAGACAGAATCAGTAGTATGTTACGGATATGAACCTCCACTATAGTCAGCTGCCACTCTTCGAATTCCGACATCTACTGCAAGTCCGACCAGAACTCAAGGCACAGAGTACGTGTGATATCATTCTCTGCAAACTCATCTATCCAGCTGTTATCTGCAGTACATCCCACACCTGACAATAAATCACTGTGGGCATGTTATAAAAATCCATATGTAGAGACTATTTCCAGCCATATGAAGGACTAGATGCCCATATCAACAATCCTGCTTAAGACACCTTAATGTGTTACTTAAAAAACAAAAGACTTGCCTTTGTACATGAGCTGACGAGAAAATAAAGACTGTTCAGGCCAGGAACTGAAGCAAAGCAGTAACCAGAAAAGGAAATGGGGCCATAAAGGAGTCTTTCACCTAATTAGATAGTGTGTCTATCAGATTAGTGAGTTAGGGCAAGAGTCAACAAAATTTTATATAAAGGACCACTGAATAAATATGTTCAGCTTTGCAGACCATATGGTCTCTGCTGAAACCACTCAGCTCCATTACTGAAGTACAAAAGCAGCCATAGAAAACACATAAAAGAATGGATGTTATTGTGTTCCATTAAAACTTTATTAACAAAAAGAAAACAGCGGAGACGATCCAAGATGGCCAAATAGGAACAGCTCTGGAGTGCAGTTCCCAGTGAGAACACAGAGCGTGAGTGATCACTGCATTTCCAAACAAGATTTTACTGCCCACAAATCAGGAGATTCTAGGTGGAAAAGCACCACAAGTCTCCAACACCACTGTTTCAGCAGGCACAGCCGGTCTCCGCACAAAATCTCACACATATCTGGACAGCCATTTCAACTGGCGGCTGGAATGCCTGGGAGACACCATTCAACTGAAAAAAAGGGGGCTGAAACAGGGAGCCAGGTGATCTGGCTTGGCAGGTCCCATCTCCACAAAGACCAGCAATCTGAAATGTTCTGGATTCAGAGTTTCACAGCAAGCATAGCTGGACATGGAACAGTCCAGCTCTGCAGGGGGAAGGGCGTCTGTGATTACCAAGGCAGTCCACCACTACCAAGGCAGTCTGCCATTACTGAGGCAGTCCCCCATTACAGAGACAGTCCACCATTACTGAGGCAGTCCCCCATTACAGAGACAGTCCGCCATTACTGAGGCAGACTGCCATTACCAAGGCAGTTCTAACTATACCTTTATAAACAAAAGCAAAAGGAAGTTCACACAGCAGCCGGGCAGAGCCCACGAAGCTCAGTAACGCCTCTGCTGGCAGACTGTGACTAGGCTACCTCCTCACTGGGCAGGGCATCTCTGAAAAAAGGCAGCAGCACGTCAAGAACTTATAAATAAAGCCCTACCTTCAGAGGACAGAGCACCTGGGAAAAAAAGGTGGTTATGAGTTCTGCTGCAGCAGACATAAATGTGCCTGACCAGCAGCTCTGAACAGAACAATGGAGCTCACAGCTCGACACTTGAGCTCCTATAAGGGACAGATTGTCTCCTCAAGCAGCTCCCCAACACCCATATATCCAAGGAGACACCTCATAAAGGACAGCTCAGGCTGACATCTGGCAGGTAGCAATCTGGGACAAAGATAACAGGAGAAGAAACTGGCAGAAACCCTGACTGTTCTGCAGCCACCACAGGTGATCCCCAGGCATGCAGGGTCTGGAGTGGACCACCAGCAGTACTACAGCAGAGGGGCTTGACTGTTAGAAGGAAAACTAAAAAACAGAAAGAAATAACTTCATCAGCAATAAAAAGGACGTCCACTCAGAGACCCCATCCGAAAGTCACCAGCTACAAAGACCACAGGTAGATGAATCCACAAAGATGGGAAGAAACCAGTGCAAAAAGGATGAAAACACCCAAAACCACAACGCCTCTCCTCCTCCAAGGAATCACAACTCCTCACCAGAAAGGGAACAAGGCTGAATGGAGACTGAGTCTGATGAATTGACTGAAAAAGGGTTCAGAAAGTGAGTAATAACAAACTTCTCTGAGCTAAAAGAACATGTTTCAACCTAATGCAAAGAAATTAAGAACCTTGCAAAAAGTTTGATGAAATGCTAACGAGAATAAACAGCTTAGAGAAGAATATAAAGGAATTGATGGAGCTGAAAAACACAACACGAGAACTTTGCGAGCATACACAAGTTTAAATAACCAAATCGACCAAGCAGAGGAAAGGATATCAGAGACTGAAGATCAACTCAATGAAATAAAATGAGAAGGCAAGATTAGAGAAAAAAGAGTAAAAAGAAATGAACAAAGTCTCCAAGAAACATGGGATTATGTGAAAAGACCTAATCTATGTTTGATAGATGTACCTGAATGTGACGGAGAGAATGAATCCAAGCTGGGAAACACTCTTAAGGATATTAACCAGGATCACTTCCCGAACCTAGCAAGGCAAATCAACATTCAAGTCCAGGATATACAGAGAACACCACAAACATACTCCTTAAGAAGAGCAACCCCAAGGCACATAATCATCAGATTCACCAGGGTTGAAATGAAGGAAATAATGCTAAGGGCAGCCAGAGAGAAAGGCTGGGACACCCACAAAGGGAAGCCCCTCAGACTCAGCAGATCTCTCAGCAGAAACCCTACAAGCCAGAAGAGGGGGGGGCCAATATTCAACAACCTAGAATTTCATATCCAACCAAACTAAGCTTCATAAACGAAAGAGAAATAAAATCCATTACAAACAAGCAATTGCTCAGATATTTCGTCACCACCAGGCCTGCCTTATGAGAGCTCCTGAAAGAAGCACTAAACACAGAAAGGAACAACCAGTACTAGCCACTCCAAAAACATACCAAATGGTAAAGAGCATCAACACAATGAAGAAACTGCATCAACTAATGGGCAAAACAACCAGCTAGCATCAAAATGGCAGGATCAAATTCACACATAACAATATTAACCTTAAATGTAAATGGGCTAAATGCCCCAATCAAAAGACACAGACTGGCAAATTGGATAAAAATTCAAAACCCATCAGTGTGCTACATCCAGGAAACCCACCTCAGTATACACGTAGGCTCAAAATAAAGGGAAGGAGGAAGATTTACCAAGCAAATGGAGAGCAAAAAAAAAACACAAGTTGCAATCCTAGTCTCTGATAAAGTAGATGTTAAACCAAAAAAGATCAAAAGAGACAAAGAGGTACCTTACATAATGGTAAAAGAACAATGCAACAAGAAGAGCTAACGATCCTAAATGTATACGCACCCAATATGGGAGCACCCAGATACATAAAGCAAGTTCTTAATGACCTACACAGAGACTTAGACTCCCACACAATAACAGTGGGAGACTTTAACATTCCACTGTCAATATTAGACAGATCAATGAGACAGAAAATTAAGAAGGATATCCAGGACTTGAACTCAGATCTGGACTAAGCAAACCTAATAGACGTTTACAGAACTCTCCATCCCAAATCCACAGAATATACATTCCTCTCAACACCACATCAGACTTACTCTGAAATTGACCACATAATTGGAAGTAAATCACTCCTCAGCAAATGCAAAAGAATGGAAATCATAACAAAGTCTCTCAGACCACAGTGCAATCAAATTTCAACTCAGGATTAAGAAACTGACTCAGAACCCCACAACTTCATGGAAACTGAACAACTGGCTACTGAATGTTGACTGGATGAACAATGAAATGAAGGCAGAAATAAAGATGTTCTTCGAAATCAACAAGAACGAAGACACAATGTACCAGAATCTCTGGGACACATTTAAAGCAGTGTCTAGAGGAAACTTTATAGCAATAAACGCCCACATGAGAAACAAGGAAAGATCTAAAATTGACACCCTATCATCAAAATTGAAAGAGCTAGAGGAGCAAGATCAAAAAAATGCAAAAGCTACCAGAAGACAAGAAATAACTACAATCAGAGCAGAACTGAAGGAGACAGAGACAAAAAAATGCTTCAAAAAATTAATAAATCTAGGAGCTGGTTTTTTGAAAAGATCAACAAAATAGACCACTAGCCAAATTAATAAAAAAAAAAAAAAGAGAG